ACAAAATTCTGCCAGTGACCACCCCAGAGAGCACAGCTAGGATATGAACTTGGACCTGGCTGGGTCTAGATCCCAGGATATCCCCCAGAAGAGTAAAGTGTCATCCCTGTGTGACAGGCACCATGCTGGGCATCAGGAATTACCACATTATGCACTACATTACCTTTTTAAAAGCACCGTGATGCGTATGTCTCTGGTTCTCACGAATACACTGCCATGTACCATATGACCTCTGTGTGAAGGGAACTGAAACTCAAGATTATTCTGGAATTTGCTTAAGAATTTGCTAGTGGGTAACTCAAACACAGGTCTTTGTTTTTCCTATGTCAAAAAAACCATTGGTGATGATACTGGTAGAGAAAACAGCATAAGCAAATGATAGCATGGTAAAAGACCAGACCCTTAGAATTCAGGAGTCTCAAAAATGATTCTCAGTTTTCGTCCAAAGTCACAGACACCGGCAGCTAATGGTACTAATTAGAACACAAAAACCAGGGCTGTCCAGGGGAAACCAGAAAAAACAGTCCCTCTATCAGGCGTCTTCAAACTTTTTAAAGTGGGGGCCAGATCACGGTCCCTCAGAGAGCTGGAGGGCCGGACTATATGAACTACTAATTCCTACTGTAACACCTCGGCTGCACTCACTGCCCAAAAAACCTGGCGGGCCGGATCAGACTCCTCTGCGGGCCGCATGTGGCCCGCGGGCCGTAGTTTGAAGACGCCTGTTTAAGCAAGTACTGTCCTGCGGACTGAAAGGTCCCAGGTTCAATTCCGGTCAAGGGGTCAAGGGCACGTACCTTGGTTGCTGGCGCATCCCCATTGGGGGGTGTGCAGGAGGCAGCTGGTCAATGTTTCTCTCTCTCTCTCTCTCCTCTCTCTCTCTCTCCCCCTCTCTCTCACTGTCTCTCACTGTCTCTCTCTCCTCTCTCCCTTCCTTTCTGTAAAAAAAAAATCAATAAAATATATTTTAAAAAATAAAACTGCCAACAATGTAAAATAACAATGGTTTCTTGCCTGTGTGCGGGGCTTGCTGGAGACTTTCACATCCAATTCTCATGCTCACTTACAGAAGAAATGAAGACCCAGAACAGGCACTTCTGAGACAGGAGTCTGATTTTTCCTTTTACCACTTAAGGCAAGGCACTCTGTGGGAAGGCTTCTTCTCCCCTGAATGCTTGCCCTCACTCAGAGCAAGACTGATCCTGCTGACACATCTCCTGGATTGCAGCTGGGAACTGGATAATGAAAAACGATTGTAAAATGTATTCGCCACATAAAAAGTGCTATGAAGGCTATGAAATACTAATGGGTTCTGTGATATGGGTTGTGATGGGCAGGTTTAAGAGGAAAGGAAAAAAATAGGAGGATCAGGTCCCATACTGGCAAGCAAAAAATACACAGAAATAAAAGGAGAAAAAGGAGAGTGCTGGGGGTGGGGCTGGGACTGTCACAACCAAGGAATGTGCTGGGGGTTATCAAGGAATCAGAAGCTTGGTTCTTGCAAACAAGCCACAGGCATAAATGGCAGTAAAAGAAACAAATTCCCAAACTGCACACAAACCTGAACTAAACCATCTTAATCACTTTGTTTTCCAAGTGCAAAAGCACAAGGTTCAAGCCTAGTAACAATGATCTCTTAGGTTTTATCCCCTTCCAAATTCTCCTAGGCAAAAGAAAGAATGTGTCAGGCGAGGCTCAGCAGAAACAGAATCAAAAACACCTTTGAAAGAGAGCTGGCCACAGCCCAATTCCAGCTCCACTGTCAGAGATGAGACAGAGCAAATCTGTCTCTTTCCCTGGGGCCTCAGTTTCCTCTTCACTGCAATAAGGAAGCAGGTCTCTCTGGCCACCACAACCCAGCCTGCACTTCTAAGGCAGGAACTGGCTGCCAGCTTGATGATTCTCCTACCGCTACAACCTTTGGTCACATAAAACAGTTTTCCCAGCCAAGGCTGATAAGCTTGCAAATAATTAGAAGGACAAGAGTAAGAGCTAAGCTGCCTAATATGATTCTAATAGCAAATAGCTTCCAGAATCTGATTTTTCCTCTCTGCTCTCCTGAGCTCATACAAGTACAGTATCTCCTGCCCTGGAACATTTCAGCGTCCTCCTAAGCAGGCCCCTGCCTGGGGTTTTAACTTGCTATCATTTGGTCACCAGAGCTTTCTAAAGCTCAGGGGCAGCAAGGCCCTCCTTTGCTGTAAGAGTAACAATAGCCCTCCTGCCCTTCTTAAACTCCTGACATCATCTTTAGCTGCCCTATCAGCCTTTATAATCTAATCCTCAGGGCCACCTTTCACAGTGATCTCCAAGCCCAGCCTTCTATTCTGCAAGCACCTTTAGGCCTCAGGATTATGCATGTATATCAAGGTGTCTATTCCTGGAATGCTCTTCCACCCCATTCACCTTATAAACTCCTACTCTCTCTTCAAAACCTTTCCAGGTGCTGGTCACTCCATTCTTAGTGCTCCCATTAGCCCTTTGTTCATCACTCTACTAAGGCCTTGCCATGTTCTATTTCAATCACTCTCTCTTGTGCTGGAATCAAAACCCTTGAAAACAGACCCTTGTCTTTGTAAGCCAGTTTTCAGCATTTCTGTTTAGCATATGGTGATCACTCAGTATACATGTGTGGAAATGAATACAAGAAGTTGAGCTAGCCAGGACTGGTTTGGCTCAGTGGATAGAGCGTTAGCCTGCAAACTGAAAGGTCCCGGGTTCGATTCCGGGCAAGGGCATGTACCTTGGTTGTGGGTGCATCCCCAGTAGTGGGTGTGCAGGAGGCAGCTGACTGATGATTCTCTCTCATCAATGTTTCTAATTTTCTATCCCTCTCTCTTCATCTCTGTGAAAAATCAATAAAATATAAAAAAGAAGGAAAGAAAGAAAGAAGAAAGAAAGAAAGAAAGAAAGAAAGAAAGATAGAAAGAAAAGAAAGAAAGAGAAAGAAAGAAAGAAAGAAAGAAAGAAAGAAAGAAAGAAAGAAAGAAAGAAAGAAGGAAAGAAAGAAAGAGAGAGAGAGAGAGAGAAAGAGAGAGAGAGAGAGAGAGAGAGAGAGAGAGAGAGAGAGAGAGAGAAATAAAGAGGGAAATAAAGAGGGAAGAAAAGAAAGAAGACCCATTTTTATGGGGGGGGGGAAAGAAGAAGAAGTTGAGCTAGATGAATGGTAGAAGGGGCAAGGAGTCTAGGAATGGGTTCATTGCACAAAGTGGGTTTGGGCTTTTAACTTAACGGATCATACTTTTACAACAAGCAGAGATAATGGACAGGCCAGAAACTACACAGACTAGGCTGGTGATAAAAGAATATGAAACTATGGCTTTCCAACATAGTTTGGATAAATAATATGATTATGGGCATTGGAAAACAGCATAGGCAAAGGCATGGATAAAAAAACAGAGGAATGTTCAAAGACAGCAGAACCACCTGTCTGTGTGAGAGAAAAGTGAAAGAGCAGTTTCAATTGAAATTTCTCTTAGGATAGCTAGCTTAAAGACTAAACACAGAACTCTTAACCTTGACCCTCACTGTGGAACTGCCCAATGCCATCTGTGGCAGGTACAGCATAAATGAATCTCAAAGGAGTCCTGTGCCCACAAGCCCAAACTTTAGGGTCAATAAAAATAGTTTCTTTCCCCAACATTGCCATTTATGTTTGCAGAGAACATAATCAATCTTTTTCTCCACCTAACAAATATTTCCAGAGTGCCTAACATGTGCCAGGCAGTCATCTGGGCACTGGGAACATGACCATTAACAAAAGTATCATTGGGATCCTCATGAAACTTATTTTATAGTGAAGTGAAGACAAAAACAAGCAAACATATAAGGTCAAGTGATGATTCATGCTTATACTGTTTCAGTTCAATTCATTTCACAAAAAATTACTGAACAAGTACAGTATCAAGTACAGTATCCAAGAGGAGGAGAGGAGAGGAGAGGAGAGGAGAGGATGGAGAGGAGAGGATGGAGAGGAGAGGATGGGGAGGAGAGGGGAGGAAGGAGAGGAGAGGGGAGGAGAGGAGGGGGAGGAGAGGAGGGAGAGGAGAGGATGGAGAGGAGAGGAGAGGATGGAGAGGAGAGGAGAGGAGAGGAGAGGAGAGGAGACGGAGAGGAGGAGGGGAAGAGAGGAGAGGAGAGGAGAGGAAGTAATATTGGGGGAGGAGTGCAGATAATTTGCTAGAGAGACTCTAACTTCTCCAGTTAGGTTTGGAGAGAGAAAATACCCAAAGGGTAGAGGGAACAGTAGCATCTTAAGAGAGGGAATGGTGGAGCACTTGTGTGGAATTGAGAAGACTGCTCACCCTTTATCATAAACCCTCAATTATGATCCCACCAGTACTCAATAAATGTATACTGGATTAAACTCCAAGGAAGAATACTGAAAATCAATGTTGATTAGAATTTTTCATTCTGTGGAGACATAAAAGAGTGGTGGCGAGGCTATAGATCAGGCAAAGGTCAGAAACTGGACCATGTCACTTAGTAGTGGTATAACCTTATTTAACCGGACTCATCATCTCATTTGCAAATGAAACTAAAATCATAAAACTAACTTTAATAAATCGGCATGAGAAGTATGTAAGCACATATCAGGCACTCAAAAATTTTTTCAAACTTATATTCTTATTACTATTATGGTTAAGAAAGAACAATAGGAAGATAAACATTTTCTAGCCTCAATTCTGTGGTTTAAATGCTTCCAAGCATAAATCCCATTGACACTCTGGCCACCCACTCACCCTATTTGTGGAAAGTCAGAAGAGATGAAGGCCTCAAGGATACAGCTGTGTCCTTTCTCATTTCTGTGGCCTGCATTAAGCACTGGCCATTTCCTTTACACCTCCAGCTGATCTAGAGAGGACCCACAACACACTTCCATTCCCTCTTCCCTTCCTCTCACCTTCAGGTTCTCTGTCTCACACATACCTTCAAGCCTCAGATTTTTCACCGGGATAGAAGTTTTCTCCATACAGCAAACTTTACCTTCCCTTCCTCACCTGGGTTTCTTCCAGCAAGGCACAGCCTTCCAAGCCAGTTCCAAGAAGAGTCCCCACCCATCAATGCACACACAAGAGCTAAGACTCCTAATTACTGCCCAAGGTCAAAGTCTCAGGTTCACCAACCAATTACTTAAATGTGTTACTATGCTTCCTGCATTACTAACCAAATACCTCTTCCCAAAGATGGTTTCAGAGGTCCTGCCCAGGCTTGTTCTCATGTGAATCTGTAGAGTGCCAATTAAAGGCCCCTATAGCCTACAAGGTAAAGTTAAATCTACTTAGAAAAAAAAATAAAAGTTCCCCCCTTTCCCCAATTCCCACAGCCCACTTTATGCTAGCCATTCAAAATACAGCCTCAGGAATAAATGTTCCCAATCAGCCTCACAGATTGAGCCTTACCTGTCTGTACTTCCTCCACTTTGGCAACTCTTCAGACACCACTCTCTCTGTGCTGGCTTCCCTTAAAGGGACCCTCCTCAGTGCAGAGCAGCCAAAACATACCCGAAAAATAGCATGTGCATGCGCATGTACACCTGTGGTCCTCAAGGAATCATGTCCTCATCTTTATACTCCCAGGGCCAGCCAGTTCCTGGCTTGCAGTAGGTAGGCTCCTGGATTTGTGTGCTTCCTGCACTGTTTATCTTCTTTATGTAAAAATAGATTCGTGTGTTCCATCTTCTGGTTCTACCATGTTACCTGGCACTTTCTATCCCTCTGTCCATTTTCCATTAAATGCAGCAAATTTCAGGGGTAAAGGGGCTTCCCAGTATATCCCAGTGAGTTACACTCTGCCCTTGGCCAAAAACCCATCATCATTCCAGCATTTTAAAGCATAGTTCTGAAATAAAATACGATCCGACTATTCTACAGTTCTCCCAATAACCCATGTGAGTTCCACAGCAGGGTAAAATTACACATTAACACCAAGAGTCCAAGTTCTGGATTGTCATTTTGAGCACATTTCTAATTAGCTGTGTGACCTTGGGAAAGAGTTACCATGGAGATGACAGTGTCACCAGGCCCAATTCTCGGGATTTTTGAGATGCAAATGGAATATCTGATGGAAAAATGTTTTATAAAGTGCCAAGTACTGTATTTTCATACAAGGTATGATAACTTTTATCAAATCTAAACCATTGACTCTAAGATGTACCATCATCAACTTGAAATGAAAAATTGCTCAACTATGACACATCTGTGATTATAAGACAGCCCAATTTCAGTGATATTAAAATTTTGGGGAAAAAATGTATCTTAGAACTGATGAAATACAACTTACTTGTCTTTAAAGTACAAGCACTTGCTATAAAATTTCATATTTGCCAAGGGCACATAATAGGTTCTCAGTAATATATGTCAAGTAAGTGAGTGAACACCCAATGATAATATTTATAGGCCAAATTATTGCCTCTCTCTAGAAATGGGCAGCAGAAGGCTTTCCAGTGCCAGTACCTCCCCTCTCAATCATGTCCCAGCCTGCCCAAAACCCTCAAATGATGACTTCAAGTCATATCCAAACTCCCAAGCCTGGCATTTTTAAGGCCCTTCATAAACAAGCCTCCTTTCCCACCAACCACGGCCTGGAACTGACTACCTGCCCCAGAGTGATGACCTTACCACCAGAATTTGTCACTCCAAGAGTCCTAATCAGTCCCAGCCATAGTAACCAGCTCAGCAGCTCCGTTTCTCCTCCCTCTACCATCAAAGCCAACTCTAGGCTGGCCAGCTACTCACAGGGAGCATGACCCTGTGGGACTGCCTAACCCAAAGGTCCCAGGTCTTCTCCCTACCATGCAAGCAGCTAACCCCCACTACTTCTCTTCCAGCTAGAGTGTACATTCCAGACTATAAAAGTCTGGGCATTGGAGTGGAGGGACAGCCCTACGAAGATTCAATGCAAGACACACTTCCTTTTGACAGTCCCCAGTGCTAGCAGGAACCATGGAAGGAGAAATGCTGGTCATGGAGTAGAGTGAACCCTATTAGAAATTTTGCCCCTCCCCCACTCCATCATCCACCATTATTCACCATAGCATCCACCTTCTCTGGCCCTTCATTTTTATTTCCCCATCTGTAAGAGAGAAGGAGGTTGAGGAATGAGAAGTGGAAAAGGGAGTTGGTAGCTTCCCTTCGCTCCACTTAAAGGCTTTCTTAAAATGCACAAGTTCTGAGAGAGGTGAGCCATTAACTCACTAACACCTTAGTAAGAACAAGGTTTACTGGAAGGCAAGCAATTTAGAAAAGGGAGAGGGGGTAGAAGGAGAAAGAGGATTGGAGATAAAGTTAAGTGAGTCTGGTATTAGGAAAGTAACTCAGAGATGACCCTGAATTTTTGCATTTTGTGTTGAGGGTTGAGAGGGAAGCCAGAGAGATAGCTTTCTGGTCTCCATAGCATCACAAAGTCCCAAAGACTTTGCTCTGTCAGAGTACCTGGGCACAAGTCCACTGATTTACCCAGCTCGTGTACTCTCCTTCCAACCCCATGCCCTCAACACAGTCACATTTACAGTTTCATCTCTACTCTCCACATTTTATTTAGTATTCTCTGATCTACAACCCACCCCCACCCCCAACACCCTACCAGTCCCAGCCCCACCCTCCACCCCACCCCCACTCCTGCGCAAATTGCCTGCTTCCTGGTCACTGGCTAGCTTCAGAAAACTCCCATCCTTCAAAAACCCCTGATCAAAGGGCCATCACTATCCGCTCTCCAAGGACCAGGAAATCAAACTCCTTTTCCGAGCCCATTAAATCCTTATCCAGCACTCAGCACTTTCAGGTTTGGCTCCTCGGTGGTCTGAGGGCTCTCATAGGGCAAGAACTGGGCCTTATCTGCCTCTCCGACCTAAAAACCCGCCAATGCCCCTGGCACACAGTGGGCGCTGGAGAAATGCTGGAGAACGGAAATTAGGAATTGGGATCCATTTATGTTCATTACAGTTTTGCCTTTAAGTGACTAACTTCTGGGGAGGCCCTCCTTCTCTCCGGACCTCAATTGCCCCAACTGTAAAATGGGGGCTTGGCTAACTGGATTTCCTAGGCCCCTTCCACGGTGACAACTGGGATTCCGCGAAAGCTCGAAGCAGCTGGGTGTGGCCCCGCCCCCTGGGCGCCCAGAAAGGCCCAGGCTGGGGTCACCCGGGGGAAGGGCTCCAACCCCGCCCAGACCGCGATCCGAGCTTCCCCGAAAACTCGGGGTCTCCCTTCCATGGCGTGTACCCCGCGATTGCACCGCGGCTGGCACTTCCGCACCGCGGGCCCCCAGGCCGGGGCAGGGCGCACGCTCCACACCCTGCGCCCGCGCCGCTGCCACCCCGGAGGCGCTCGCGCCCGGGGAGGCTGGGGGTTCCCGAGGCACCCGCGGGCGGAGGGTAGGGGGGGGGGTCGGGGGGAGGAAGGAGGATTTGCAACAATACCTCTGGGAGGAGGCAGCCGGGGCAGCGGCGGTGGCGGCAGCGGCTGGAGGCGGAGGCTAAGGCGTAGGAGGAGGCGCCCAGGCACTCCCCCTCCCATTGTCCCCAGCCCCTGACAGGCTCGGCCCCGCGCCCCGCGGCGGGTCCCGCGCCCCGGACCGCGCCGCCAGCCCTTACCTTGCAGCGCCCGGCCGTCCCCCTGCTCGCTAAAAGCTACTTATCCCGGGAAAGCTCGCTCGCGCGGGGCCCGGGAGCGAACCCACAGATAAAAAGTGAAACTTCGGCAGGGCTGGAGCGGCTGCTGGTTGGTGCCTTTCCCCCTCCTTCCTTCCCACCGTCCCCACCCCCCTCCCCTCGGTCTCCCGTGCGGTGCCCTAAGAGCTGGAAGCTGACGTCAGGGGCCTGAATTCCTGACTTTGCCTGCACGCATTTGTCCATGTAAGGTATGGGGAGGCGGGTGCCCGGGCGCCGCGCGCCGCAGCCTGCGGGGGGAGGGGCGCCCGCGGCGGGCAGGGGCTGTGCCAGAAGGTGGGCGCACCTCGGGCATTTTATTTCCTGGAAATGCGAGGAGGGGACCTAGGGGTGCAGGGAGCTCGCAGGCGGAGGAAGAGAAAGGAGTTGTGGGGGCTCTGCCTGCACTGCAGGAAGAGGAAGGAGGAAGCGGCCGAGTGGAGGGGCTGCCTGAGAAATGGGAGAACCTGCCTCTGCCCTTAAAGGCGCCAACTGAGGGTGCTGAGTCTGAGCAGCAGAGATTCTGTTTGGGGAAACCCCTTCCGAGATCTGGGTCCTGAGCCTCTCCCTGGATTCCCAATAGACTCCTTATGTGCTGGAGGTCGGAGCTGGCTAAGACCAACGTCCCATCCGCCCATTTCCCACATGAGAAAACTGAGGCACTCCGACGGAAGAGAAAGGACTTGTCCAGAGTCCTGCACGCCACCGACCCAGGCACCCAGGCGCGGGACCTGGGTGTTCAGACTCCCAATCCCAGTCCCCTCCGCCAGCTAGAGAGCCTTGATTCCCTCCTTTCCACAGAGCAGGGAACCAGGTTAGATGTCAGCGGGCCACGCAGACCACCCAGGGAAGAGAATTCCAACTTCCTGGAACGTCTGATTGACATCCCTGAAGGCAATGACGTTGCTTCGGGGCCACTTTCTCTGTCCTAGGCTCAAGTAAACGAACACCTGGAGTTGAACGTTTATTTTTCCGCCTGGTCCTGAAGCCCAGAAACTTTTTTTCTATGCTCATATCTCCAAAAAAGAAATCAGCGAACTGGGTGAACTGGTTTGAATAAAGGCAAGCCTGTTCTTGGAAAGTTAAGAGTTGAATGTTCCCCCTCTGACATTTGTAAATGTGAGCACACACATGAAAACCACCATTTACTATGCCAAAGGGTTATAATGTGCAGCAGCCATTGCCTGGAAGGTGGTCCAAGGCTGTGGACTTTGTTTCCTTGTATTTCTATCCTATTGATATCTAAAATAATAATCGCTCACTTCAGCACATCATGAAAGCAGTTTATCAGAGCTTCATGTTAGATAGGGCAAAGCATAGCCCCCCTTTTACATTTGAGGGGAAAAGGTAAAGCGGCTTGCCCAACACAAAAGCGCCTAAACTCACCTCCACTCATCCAAGTCCCCTGACTAATCCCAGGATGTTTCCACCCAAACAGGAAGCCTTGACCTCTAGCAGGACTTAATTTCCATTCGTGAATGTTTGAGAGTACACTGAATTGCCTATACATGAAACTTCCAAAACTTGCTTCTAATGGGATTTGGTGGAATTTTTTTTTTTTTTTTTTTTTTTTTTTTTTTTTTTTTTTACCAAGAATTAAAGAAGTAAATGTAGAAACTTACATTAGTGCGCTTAATGTTTATTTAAAGCTTTCCTTATGCAAACTCTTTGAATCCATGACTTCAAATCTTTCTTCCTCTCAAATTCTCATCTACACATACAAAAATATGAAAATAGTAGAGAGATAAGGTCAAGAGTATCTAGTCCATGTAATAATGAAATAGTTTTCTCTTTGCAACTATCATAGTTTGAAATAGGAAAAAAATCAACTTTTAAAGGGGATTTTGTTATGGGGCTCTAAAAAGATAACTTATTCCAACACAATTCTACCTTCAACATTTCAGCAAACCCATATTCTAAGGCTACTGTTTAGTATGAAAAACACCTGATACCACACAAAGTAAGAGTGGATTTACCCAAAGCTCATCGGATATAACAGGACTTGACCAGCATTTCTTTTTATTTCCCCCATTAACCCACTTATAAAGAATAATAAGGTTCTAATGAGGATTAATAAGATTTAATAAGGTATAATTAGAGCCATTCATTTCCTCCATCATACACATTATAAGAGTGCTGTGTTGGATCCAAAAATGCTACTAATTATGTTAAAACTGTTATATGGCTGTGTTGGGGAAGATCATTGCGTTTCTCCTCCTGAAATATTTATGAATTGCCCAGGTGGGCATGGTTTTAGCATAAGCATTACATAAAGTTAATCACAAAAAAATGATTTCAACTTATGAGGCACTCACCAGGAGTATAAGAGGGTAAAGTCATAAATTGGATGCTTGGCAAACTACATGCAGGGTTGTCATCAATACAAGCCCAAATCAAAAGGCTCATTGTCATTTGCTGATCTGGTTTCTTTTGTATTCTCACTTTTCTCAGCATCCCTATTAAAACCTGCTGTGTGCAGGGGCTTGGAAAAGAAGAAAAAGATGTGTAAACTTGCAGACTCAATGCTAGAGAAATGCAGATTTACAAATTGGAAGACTAAAAGAACAGAATTTCAGGTGTGGTAGAGGTTATGTGATCCGAGAATTACACAATGGTGGCCTTATGGCTTACAGAAGCATTCTGATTGGTACAGTGATGGCACACAAAACTTTGAGGAAGGCCTGGCTGTGGTCCCACCATTCCCTTGCATTCATTATAGTCCCTTACCCAAAGGCCCTTGTGTAGCTCAAGTCAATCTTTTATTTGTGCCTCTGATATGCCAGACAATATTCTAAAGATTTTTCATATGCTCTTCATTCAATCGTCACAAAGCCCTTCTGAGGTTGCCATTATGGTTTTCTCTATTTTGTCCACAAGGAAAGTAAAGCCCAGAGAGGTTAAGTAGCTTGCTCTTAACGACAGAGCTAGTAAATGGGTAAGCTGAGATTCCCCCTGAGCCCAGGCAGCCTGGTGCTTTGCTCACTCACTGCTGAGTGACCATCTGGTCTCAGTTGGAACACTCCGATGTGCAGAACTCATAATCTCCAACAGCTGACCAAGAGGAAAAAATATGAAGAGGCTACTGGAAAAATAATGACAAGGGGAGGCATGGAAGATAAACACCAGCATGATGTTGCCTCTCCATGCTTAACACTCATCAGGCCAAACTCCATAATGTGGTTTGCACAGCCCTTCAGATATTTCTGCCAGTCTTTTACATTCACTCACCCTCCAGCCAAATGAAGTTCTAGTGCACATGTGTCAAACACAAGGCCCACGGGCCAAATCCGTCCCGCCAGGCCTTGCAATGTGGCCCGCACCGCGCTGTCATCACTGCACTCCGCTGCGTTTCCATCACAATGACAGTTTATGACTGTTCAGTAAACCATTCGGCCCACGATTTAGGCTGGATTTTAGATTTTGGCCCCTTCTCTGATTGAGTTCGACACCCCTATTCTAGTGGTTTCAAACACATCTTACCTGTTCATGCTTCCCTGCCTTTATACTTTCTCCCAGGAGCCCTCTTCCTTCTCTCTCCACCAGGCAACCCTTACCTAGCCTCTTCAAATTCCCCTTAAATAATGCTTCCTTTGAGAGGCCTAGCACCTACCAACACTTCCAGTGGACAGATTACCCCTACAGAATGCTGCCATTACTCTGCTTACCTTAATCCATATGACTCTGACTAGTGTCATTGGTTACCTTGTCTTTCTCTGCTACTGGACTGAGAATTTAATTTATCTTAGTCCTTAACACAGAGCTTGCCTTGATAGTTGCAGGCATTCAATTGTTTCCCCTCCTCCTCTTCCTCCTCCTCCTCCTCCTCCTCCTCCTCCTCCTCCTCCTCTTCCTCCTCTTTCTCTTTTCTGCCTCCTCCATTTTAAAAAAAAATCTTTTTTTTAATATATTTTTTTGTTGATTTTGTACAGAGGGGAAGGGAGAGAGAGAGTTAGAAACATCGATGAGAGAGAGTCATCGACCAGCTGCCTCTTGCACACCCCCTACTGGGGATATGCCCGCAACCAAGGTACATGCCCTTGACCAGAATCGAACCCGGGACCCTTCAGTCCCCAAGCCGACGCTCTATTCATTGAGCCAAACTGGTCTTGGCTCCATTTTTTAAAAATCTTTATTGCTGAAAGTATTACATATGTCTTCTTCTATTTTTCCTCCTTTTCTCCCCCTTCCCCTCCTCCTCCTCCTCCTCCTCCTCCTCCTCCTCCTCCTCCTCCTCCTCCTCCTCCTCCATTTTTTAAATTCTTTATTGTTGCCAAAACCAGTTTGGCTCAGTGGACAGAGTGTTGGTCTGTGGCTGAAGGGTCCCAGGTTCAATTCAGGTCAAGGGCATGTACCTTGGTTGCAGGCACATCCCCAGTAGGGGGTGTGCAGGAGGTAGCTGGTAGATGTTTCTCTTTCATCAATGTTTCTAGCTCTCTATCCCTCTCCCTTTCTCTCTGTGAAAAATCAATAAAATATATTAAAAAATAATAAAATAAAATATAATATAATAAAATCTTTATTCTTGAAAGTATTATATATGTCTTCTTTTTCTCCTCCTTTCCTCCCCCTTCTTCTTCCCCCCTCATCTCCTCCTCCTTCTCTCCTTTCTCCTTCTTCTTTATTTTCCTCTCCTTCCTCCTTCCCCTCCTCTTCCTCCTCTTCCTACTCATCTTCTTCCTTCTCTTAATCCTCCTCCCTTCCTGTTAAAGGCTGAGGAACATGCAGAAAGTATAAGACCCAAACATTTAAATAAAATCACATAACCTCCTCAAGAGCTGAGTCCTAGATTTAATAAGACCAGTGGGAAGGAAAAAGAAGAGGCAGAGGGGACAAATATTTGGAATTAGAACCAGGATTACCATGGGGAAACAAAGGTAAGGAAGGTTTGTAGTCCTTTCCTTGCCTTAAAACTTCTATGTGAACTCATGGCATGTCTCTGTGTCTTTATCCATAGAATTACGTTCTTAGTTTTTATGTTTTTCAACACTTTCCCAGCTCTTTGATTTGCTGCTTCTTTCAAACTATTGACCAAATTCATCCTCCTAAAGGATACCATGCCATATTATACTCTGTTTTATGCCTTCTCACATTTAAAAATTTTATAAATTATCTAAGGATATAATTCTTCAGTACAAGTAAACACAAAATTAAAGCAATGGTTATTTTGCAGTTTTATATTAAATTCTTGAGGGGGGGGGGGAATCCAGGATTATTTTTTCCAGAAAGAACTAAGCACAGGTGAAAGTTTTAATATTTGCTATGCCCTTCCCTATGGTTGAGCTTATTTCTCTTCCCATGATTATTGTATTAGTTTGTGGTGCAAACATGACCTCTGGCCTAGTCAGATAAGCATCAGTCTTTTGTAAAGAGAGGAAAACTTGATATGATAAACAGTAATGATAGACTTTTATTAAATGCAACATTAAAAATAAAGCAGTTTGCAAAAGGTGTGTTTAGTCTCTGTTCTGCACAACCACTGGAAAAATATAATATCAATATAAAAAGAACACATTAGCAATCTTCCTAAATGAATATTTTTCTCCCTTTTTTGAATACTAAGTCTTTTCTTGAGGGGAAAATGGTATCACTAGCTATTTTCTTTATAAGAATCAAACCAATGTGGACAAATGATAGCTTGTATCTGCCTCTGGGTTTCTGCACAATTTTACCAAGTTTTCTAAACCTAGTTTTCAGCCAGTGACTATAGAGTCATCATTGTTTGCATTTTGACTCATCACAGAATCATGTTATCTGAATGTATTTTGGCCTTTCCCAACTCAGCCACTTATACAAGTCTGCTGACTTTTGACCACAGGTAACCCAAAGAAGAGCTGTGACTGTGCTTGGAAACCAATGAACTTTCCCAGGTCAGGCAGTTCAGTCTAACCAAGTCTTTGGTATCAGAAATGTTGATGGATGGAGCTTTAACCCCTCTTGGGTCGACTACCAATGAAAAGTTTCAGAGAGGTTCAAACACATGGGAAGACAATTTATACACCCTTTTTATTTTAACAAGTATCAATAATGTACCAAGTAATGGCATTAGGCCTAGGAATACAGAGTTGAGAAAAGTACACCAAG